CCTCTCAACTTGTTCTTTGCAGCTTTTGTGAGACACCTGGATATATGCTGCTTGGCCTGCTTGTTTCCCCAAGTTCCTCAGGGGTTTGCGGGGGTTTGCGCCCAAGAGATCCCTACAGGAACCAGGGATTCTTCATACTGTTGCACACCAGTTGGTTCCCAATACTCATAACAGTGTCTCTCCAAATTAGTGGACTCTGTTAAGTTGGTGGTCAAAGGGGCACCAAAAGGAAGCCCACCATCTGTTTAGGGACTGTGAGTAAACCCCCCTTCTCATATAGCTTCCCCAGAATTAGCTCCCCTTTTCGATTTGTTTTTGTTTTTTGGGGGTCCCTTTGTTTTCTGCTTGTCAGGCATTTCTTTTTTGCTGGGGTCCTAATTCCAGCCAAGATGGACCTTCTCGAGGAGATCGCCAGTCCCCAACATCCAGACAAGGGCTCGCTGAGCACCACCACAGGCCGCTGCCCGTGTCTTCGGTTTGCCCGATGGCTCGAAAAAATGGCCAGCGGGGATCATCTCGAAAAGGGTTCAACAAGGAAAGAAAAACCATTGGACAACCCCCTCAAAGAGTGCTGGAGTATTGCCACATGTTAACAACCCATTCATGGCAGTACTAGTTGATGAATGACAGGTTGCGACTATGTTGCAATCAGCAGTACATGACCGGGCCTTGGCATATGTGGAACTGGGGAATGCTATTGATTGGTGGTGTTCTGTGAGTTTTGTGCCACGCTGCGCAGAGATTCCGCCAAAGAGCGAGAGAAAGTGACACAGAGAGAGCGAGAGAGCGAGAGAGAGAGAGGAGAGAGAAGGTGTGTGTGTGTGTGTGGTGTGTGTGTGTGCGCGTGTTTGAGACAGGCAGACAGACAGACAGACAGACAGACAGACAGACAGACAGACAGACAGACAGACAGACAGACAGACGGACACAGACGGAGAGATAGAGAGACTGTGCATGCCCGAGTGTTCTTAGTATTCATTTCAATCTATTATGTAAACACTCCATGAGTTTGCTATCAACATGTTTTCGGACCCCGGGACACTTGGTGGCGCACGAAATCCTTTCAGGGACCCCCTGGTTCTGCGCAACTCCCGGCTTAACAGCCCAATGCATTCCAGGCTCGCAGAAAACCGACGTGATGACGAGGTGGAAGTCCAAGATGCGGCGTAGCGCCGAGGCAGGAATTCCAAACCCGCTGTTGGGCGGCTTTCAGTCGGACAGTCAGACAGCGAGACGGTCAGACAGTGAGAGAGTGAGGCAGGCTGTGAAGTCATCAATGTCAAAGCCTTTGGGAGCGACTAAGGTGCCCTGTTTGGGCGCCCCTCGTTGTTGGTGACGTCATATTTCTCCCCATTCTGCGTTTCGCTGGATTGAGGAGAGCGGGCTGCCGTGTTGCTTCGTAGGCTTCCGCTTGCTTAAGGAATTTCATTAATCTCCTGGGTAGCTCAGCTGAGCATGCTCACGAGCTTGTTTTTGGCATTGCTGACGCGCAACCGGCCGCGGCAGCACCGCTACGCTTTACTTTATAGCTTGTGTTCACTGCATGTTCGAGCTTGAGCTCCATCCAAGCTAGGGCTTGACAAGAAAACCCGCTTCAGCAAACTGAGTTGTGAGATGGGGTTCCGTTCTGCAAACGCGCGCGCGCAGAGCCGCTAACGTGGGCAGCGTAAGGGGTCGTTGAAGAATGGGGGCTGGCCACAGCACATTTTAGCCTTGCGCATGCAGGTTTCAATCAATGTTGCTTCTGTTTTAGTTGGCTAGCACTCCAGCATCACATGCCAGCGGATTCCCTGCAAACCCAAAACGTGTAGACACGAGCAGGTTTCAGGCCAAGAGATGCCAACATCAGGTCGAACGTCACACTTGAATCCTGTACAATGATGATGAAGCCAAAGCAGTCAATCCAACACAATAACAATTATTGTTGCAATGATAACAGTAACAATAATCATAATAATAATAGTAATAATAGACATGGGCCGCTTTCCACGTGACTCCCCTTGTGGGAGAAGGGGTCAAAGATGGTATGTATGAAGTACCAAAACGAGAAGGTGGCTTTTTCGGCCTGGCAGTTGCTGATTTCCGACCAGCCCACATACAAAGCTTCATACCAGGGCTCATGGGTTTGCGGTGGATTCAATGAATGCCGCAAGTAAAGCTACCATAAACTCATGGAATGCTGCAGAGTCTTCCTTACTTGCACAATGTGGAGTTTCAACCATATAGAGTCTAAAACAAGGGCGAATCGCCCCGCACCCCCCGCAACATGTGGGGTTTCCCTTCGGTCCTTCTTTTGAACCAAGATGGGTACCATCACAATACTGATACACCATGCTGGAAGGTAGATGGCGCAATTGCTTATGTGGGTGAGGGGATGACAGAGTCGGTTGGAATTGTGCCATCTACTATGACCCAACTGTAGCATGTGTGTTCTTAAAAAGAAGCCAAAGAGACGAAACATTCAGCTGCCTTCGCCGCGACAGGCCCTGCACTGTTTGGAGAAAGGCCAAGGGTCTTGCAGCTCTACTGCCCTCAAGCCACTTGAATCTGACGAGCACGTTTGGCCCCTTTAAGAGGCCCTTTGGATCCGACACGGCGCAAGGCTGCACCGTCCGAACAGGCGCCATGTGTTTTTACAGGAGTGGTCCGAAAGCAGGATGTGTTTCTCTTTGCACCACTTTGTGACCCTTGAAGTTCAAAATCAAGGACGCAGCGGGGTAAGACACCGCTGGTGTATTTTTGATTGGGAGGAGTAGGACTTAACTCTTTTGAGATGTCCTGACTTGAGCAGTTTCTTGGTGGGCACATCGTTGAACCTCTTTCCTTGTCCAAAGCAAGTCGACCTGTTGAGCTTTTGGTTTCAACCGGTGCTTGCCTATGTTTTGTGGTGGTTCGAACAGCTTGCCTTTCCTTGCATGACCATGCCTTTCGTCCTGGCTCCTTGGGGGCCCCAGTCGAATCGTGAGTTTTGGCATGTAGCTTCTCCGCGGACCATGAACCAAAAAGGGGGGCGATGCTTGGCCAGGCCAAGAAAGGCTCGGGCAACCGATTTGGAGACCGGGAAGCCAAATGGAAACCATCGGATTGGACTGACTTCCCTTTCAGAAAAGTCGGCGAGTGCCTCGTTTGAGGTGCCGGGACACAGCGCTGACCTTCAAGGATGTGAACTTCTCAGTGAAGTCTCGGGAGATCCTGGCAGCTTGGCAGAAACCAATTGGCTGGCCCACTAAAAATGGTCTTCCCCAAAATGGGTTCCCTTTTTTTCCAGGGTTCACATCCCTGGGAAGGTCACTATGAGGATGGTGCTTCGTTTGGGTATGGGATCCCGAGACTGTAAATGGGAAAGGGTTTCTCATAGATCCCCCTCACAAGTGTCCTTGAGGACTGGGAAATCCGATGGACACCTTTTGGAAACCCGTGGGAAACCCAAGCCCGACCCTGCCACCCGTCAACATAGAACCTGACGGGGGAATGTTCGTCTCAAAAAGACTGGCGGGTTCCATGCTGGAGAGGGCATGCGAAATGAGGATGACAAGAGCATGGTATTATTTACGTTTTTTTGGGTGTGCCCCCTTTCCACCTTAATTGAAGACATGGGGCCTGAGGAAAGCTTTTCGTCTGAACTATGGTCCTTCCCTATGGTCAGGCGCCCGTGTCCGGGCACTTCGAGTCTGGAGAGCTGGTGGCCATTATGGGCCCCTCGGGCTGCGGCAAGAGTACGCTCCTGGCGGCTCGGCCTAAGCGAGGAACACGGAGCGGGACGCGTCCCTTAAAAATGGACCGGCCGCAAGGGTGTCTTCCGTTGACTCCTTCAAATCCCATGGAGAAAATCCCCGAAGAGTTGGGGAAAGGCGCTTTTGAGACACATTAAAAACCCGGCAAGTGCAGATCAGAGACAAAGGCCTTGCCAAAGATCTGTGCGTATATCCAGCCTTTTGATTCCTTATACTTTTTTGGGTACACCCCTTTCATCATGCTGATTGCGACTTGGATGATTCCGTTCAGTGATGTTTCTGTTGAAAAATTCTGGTACTCACAGGCTTGGGTTGCGAGAGTCTCCTGCAACCTACCCTAATGTTAGAGGTGTTGTTTTTCTTGTTGAATCGCCTAGCAATACATTAGCCGGGTATGTATGCAAGCCATTTTGCAACAGGTATACTTGGGAGACAACTAACCAGCTGGTACTCAAAAACATTCACATGTCTTCCTATAATATAGGACATGCTTTTCCCAACCATGTACATATCCCATCGAACTTGCAGGGACATATGGGGTATAGTTGGCAGTAAGTACTGATCCTGGTTAGGAATACGCGTGTTATATTGACAATTCATATGAGCAGTCACCAGATGACCGCCAACAAGACATCGGTCGATCGCCTTATCAAATCGGCCACCTTAGCAGGATTTGGAAGGACTTGGTGTTCTGTCTTGTTTCCCTTTTGTGTTGTTTGGCTCCGACAGCTGTTCTTTGGCTTTTGCAGCGTTTTGCATTGTTTGGCTGTTGGCTGGAGAGGCGTTCCACGCTAAACCATCTGAAAACCACCGGTAAAACTCGCCAAATCTGCTCCGCACTCGGCTGGCAGAGTGTGTTTTCTGGGAAGAAATATGAGTCTTGAGACACAAAGTCCGAATCCCGAGCTGGCAGCTCGGAATCTGGCAAAGACATGTGTGTGGCAATATGGGTATGGGTCAAAATTAACCCACCACGGGACCGCAGGTTTTGGTCCATGGTTCCACTTACTAGGGTTCCATTTGGGGTACCTATTTTTGACCCACAGCCATATATCTAGCAGAGGTTTAGTGCCGTCTTCTCTGCAGACGATGCTGGAACCCTATGTTTACCCACTGCACATGTGGATGGGATGGGAGAACGTTGGTGGGTAGTGATGGATCAAAGATGAAATGCAGTCTGCCCGCACACGAAGATTGGTCCCATTGGCCACAGTTGGAATTTCTGCTGCTGCTGCCGCTGCTGCTGCTGGTGCTGCTGCTGTTGGCATGCCTATTGCCCTGGCAGATGCCTCCTTTCCAGCTTTTGCTGCTAAGGACATTTTGGCTGGGAAGAGCCTTGGAGAACCAGTTTGCCGTTTTGTGGAGTGGGATAGAGGTTGCCCTGCCCCCACAACATGGGCCTTTCTATGCCTATGATTCAGGGATGACCTTTGAGCTTGTTCTACATGTTGCTGTTGATCGTCTGGAATCTTGGCTCTTTAACAAGTGTACTCAGGGTAGGGCCTTGGAAGCATGCCTTGGCTCGACCGTTTTCGTGAGAATTCATAACGAGGTTGACGTTCCGGGTGTGAGCGACCGAGTGGATAGGGTGGGCTCGTAAGAGGCACGAAGGGTCTTCAAGTGTTGAGGAGAGGTGATGCATGTGGGCAAGTCACAAAGACATGGAGAAGGACCGAAAGACCTTGTTTTTGGGCTTCCTCAGATCAAAATACAGGGAAACCACCATTTACAAGGCAATGTTCAGGTGTATCATGTAAGGATCCCTGTTGAATATTTCAGGCCTGTTGAGACTCCCCTGCTGTGTCAACGGGAGGCTTCTTCAGGTCAATCTCTCACCAACCAGCGCGCCTCGAAATCAAATAGTCGGTCTCCTCGCGGCTCCTGGTGAAAGACTGATCCAAATATCATTTCCCCCAAAAGTCAAGGGACATCACACTGGGATGGATGATGGAAAGCTCTGAGGGTTCCATGTGTTTTGCGGGTGAGCGTCGTGTGAGTTTCCCGAGGAAAACTGGGCACTACGGCGGGACCATCCACTTCAATGGCCGCCCCAGAGACAAGCTCTTCCATAGGGTCACCGCCTATGTCCCTCAGGCGAGACCTTGTGCCTAGATTCCCAGCACGAAAGGGTAGAACATAGTTTTTTGTTTGGCTTTCCCTTCGCAAAAGCATGTCGTTTTCCAGCCTTGTGCCGGGTCTTTGGTGGATGTTTGCCCAAGTTCCTCTCTCCTCATGCAGGATGGGTCATTGTTGATGCCAGGTATGATGTGTTCTTGTGACTCTATCCAGCATCTTCAACATGTCCAGCATTGTATCAAGCCGGGGATCGCGCGAGGTGCGTTGCTGTTTGTGTTCCTCTAATTTCGACACGATGTTTGCAACTGTTAGTTTTGCTTTAAAAACAAAAGTATATCCATAAAGATAGCTGAGGATATCAAGGACATAGCTTCGGACATGTTGGTCTGTCGTTTTTGCAGGGAACCCTCTGTTTTTTTGTGATTTCAAAGGGAAGCCAAAAGGACCTCAACCATGTTGGGGTCCCCAAAAACAAGCCACACACACATTGTTCCTTTTTCATATTACCTTCAACGAACGTTTTCCTACTGCCAAGGTCTAGCCGGGTCCTTGGCTTCCCGTCCAATCAGAGGGCGGCAGTGCCAAGACAAGATGTTTTGCCGAGTTCGGAGGTGACTTCTGTGCTTTCAGACATGATACACATATATATATATATACATACATATATATGTTTACCTAAGTATTGATCTTAAGTATCGATCTTATATGAGTTCGTTATGACCCATGATTTCTGACTGGAATCGCATGCTTGACCATGTTGTTGGCAGCGAAGATCGCTGGTGTTTTCTTAGCTTGAAGACAATAACAGTGGAGCAAGTTCACCCAGATTCGCAACCCGCATCGCTCATTTTTTCTACAGATAGGATCATGCTCACAGTGAATATGTTGTGGCTACTGAGATGGCTCCTCAGAAGAAGGCCAGTGGGTTCGCTGCCAACAGATGAGAGACGAACTCTAAAAAGCGGTCCACTCACATGCTCTGCTCTAGAGCCGACCCAGGTTTCAATTTTCATTTGGTAAGCAACGCCCTGCCATGGCTGTGCTTTCCGATTTGGAAGTAGATGTCTTGTGGCCCCTCTTGTAGTAGACCGACCAAGCTTACGCCTGGACGCTAGGAGGATCAGATGCCAAAGTACTTGACAGTCACAGAGGCCGAGTGTTGCGGTCAAGGGTGCGGGCTGTCGCCTTCGCGGGAAAGACGAGCCTTTGACCTGCGGGATTAGTTTCTAGTGTTAGTGCAAGTTGAGCAATGGTTGCAAAAGGTCGAAAGCTGATGTCAGGGTGTTTGGGCAAATTGGTTGCGGCTCAGCTCATGGCCCTCCGCCCTTCACCAAACATGGAAGCGGACAAAGAGCAAGTGGCAAGGCATGTTGTCTTTTGTACGCCGCTTAGTCAGCTGTTATGAGTGTTGGAGGGCGGGTAATGAATGGGTGTTACGAGGAACATGAGGTCAATTGGAATTGATCGATGTTCTCTCAAACAAACCAACATGACAGGTGCTTCCTTTTGCCGACCACACCTTCAACAAGGACACTTCTTGACCTGAAGCCCGCCTTCGGGTTTTCCTCCCAAACCCCAAACCAAGCGATGGGCTCACTACACAAAAATCCTTTGTAGCCGTATGGCTGTCCTTTTCAGGGAAACCCGTCTCTAAACTGGTGAGTTGTCCTGCTGGTTTCCTTTTAAAACCACCAGAAGAAGGGGTACCCTCAAAAAACACGGACAGGGTACCCTCAAAAATGACAACAAAATATTGGGCCTACGTCAAGCCATATTCGGCCTTAAACAACTTAAGTAATTCTATCCACATGGGCCTTAGGGGGTGTCTTTTCTGAGGGTATCCCTTTTTGGTTGAACTAAAATGATTGGTTTTAAAGGGAAACCAATTGGACAACCCACGTTTTTGGATGGGTCCAAATCCAAAAACGGCGAGCCACACATACCAGTAAAACCAGCAATCAGAATATCCTCCGGTTCTTGAGGGTCCAAACCGCCAAACCACCCGGGAAGACCTCCAATCCAAGCCAATCCAAAGCACCAATCCAAACCAACAATTCGGGGTATCTTGAGTTTGGGAAACCACCCAGCCCCAACCTTTCTCCCGGAACCGGAACCCGGCACCAAATGCCATGTAGGGCCCCGCGCAAATCGGCGCAAAAGATTCCGCCGGATGCTTTGCGGCTTCCCAACCACACCACCCAAGCTCACCAAACCCATTCGGCTCCAAAGCCGCAAAGCATCGCCCGGGGGTCAATTTGGGACACCACCCCACCAATACTTGACTGCTATTGGGTTGGATCTATAGACTTCAACCTTTTTGGGAAGTCAAAAAGGCTTTTCCACCAACCCCACCCAAAGTGAAGATGTTTTTTGCAGAGGGGTCAGCAGAACTTTACCGAACCACCCAGCGACTCTGCTCGCTCCAAACCCATTGGGCGGCGCCGTGGCGCCAGGCCGTGGAGTTCAACGGCCAGCTGAAGTTCGAGCGTCCCTCGGAGGTGAGCCGCGCCATGCGCCGCCAGTGGCTGCAGCGGCGCCTGGAGGTGCTGGGCCTCGAGAACGTCAAGGACCGACGTTGAGGTGCCTGGACCGCCAGAAAACCGGTGTTCTTTGCCTTTGACCCAGAAAAAAGCGGCACAAAGCCAGACAAAAGGGGGTCTTTTGGGGTCCAGGTGGTTCCGTAGTTACAATTCGTAGCCATGTGCACCGTTCGCATGTGGAACTGAGTTGAACTTTGCCGGTTTTGGCGGGGGGTGGGTGGTTGTGGGGGGGGTGAGCTGAGGAGCTGAGGTGGTTACCTTGGGATCATTTGTTTGGACGATTGCTGATATTTTCTTAAACTTAAGTTATCTCAACTTACTGTAGCTGCCAATGAGGGAATTGGGCCATGGGACCTGTCTGAACCCCCCCAATTTCGAAAATTTGTTTTCTTTTCAGAAACTCGTGGTCTTTCAGGCCCGATGGCGTCCGCTACTTGACTGTTCCTTGGATATGAAGCCTAATGTGACCTTTGTGTCAACCAACCCACGCTCTCCCATCCATTTATTGCCATGGGGCAATGCTGCAGTATTGCTTGTAACCCACTTACCAAGTTGATAGATACCCAGTTAGTTGGAATCAACAATAAAGGGCCTGCAAGATTGGGGGGCCCGCTTGTGTTCCCGCAAAAGACGGGCTCACGGTGAAAGGTGGCATTTGAGGAGTCACACCACGCAGGCGAATCCAACTGCTTTAGGATGACCTGTAAGACCTCAACTCACACCTTCTCAACTGACTGCGCCATTGGGCTGACCCTGAAATGGTGGACCTTTGCTGCCTGGGCTTGGAGGTGAACCGCAGGATCCCTTGCGAGGCAAAGGCCTTTGTGTGGCAAAATCGCCTGACGTTTGCCCCGGAAAGCGATTTGGAATGCGTGACTCAAGCAACTAAAGCCAGTCATACAAACACAAACATAGTAGATGATTATGACCACCCCAATAAAGCAGGTATAATGAGCGCACGGGTCGAAGCAGTCTGATCAATGCTCATTTGATCACGCTGACACAGACTATCAAGACCTTATCCAAGAGCCTGAGCAAACATGCGGACTGACACACACACACACACATTCACAAAAGGAAAGAAGAACAAAAAAGAAAAGCCATGCTGGTTGTGGCATGCCCAAGTTTCTCAGTTGGAAGTAGAAACACATGCATTGACAGATGCATGGCCTTAGACTCTTTGCCTCACTGTTTTTTGTTGCTTAAGTTTCATGGTTTGGGCGCTAGCGTCCGGTGGTAAACGCCCAGGGATTTTGGCATCTCAGCTGGTTGGTGTTGCTTTTGCTAAGTTTCATGGTTGCAAAGCGGGTTTCACCAAGAATACCCTTTCTTCTACGATTATGGAAATGGACAAGGGGCAGTTTCAAGAAGGGGTTATCTTTCAAAGCCATGCTGTCCACTTTCTTGATTGTTGGAAAGATTGTTAAAGCAAATCCCATGTGGTATTCCCAGCAGGCCCGGAACCCCCTGGAAGCCTTCGGAACCCTAAAACTCGTTGGAAAGAGGGTTAAAACTCCCCAGAATCCCTTCCGGATCCCTGGCCGGTCGCTGAGCGGAGACCCCCATGCTTTCAGCAGTTGGGAGAAAAAACGCAAAAGGTTCCCTTCCCTTTTCGAAAGAGGGTAAAACTCTCCCCCCATTTCAAAAACACACCAGCCCAACTAATATCCCCAAGTTATCACCCCAACCCTAAGCCCCCAAAAGAGCCCCCGTGCTGCCAAAGAGGAACAGCAAATTCCGGAACCTTAAACCCCAAAAAGACACACCCCACATGTAAAAAACAAGCAAACCGAACAGCCAATTCTGGAAGCCCAACCCCCCCAAAAAAGACACCCCACCAAAAAACATGCAAAAACCAACACGCAAAAAAAAGCCAGGCGATCCCGCGATTGTCGTGTTGGTTTCCCTTTGAAACCACAGAAAAGGGGGTACTTTCAAATCAGACCAGGTTCAAGGACTTCCAGGTTCCTTTCGGCTTCCCAAACCAACCTAAAGGGTGGCCTCACGAAACAAAAAAAGCGACACCGCCCCCGGCTGGAGGACACCTACATCGGGGATGGCACCTCCTTGCGTGGCATCTCCGGCGGCCAGAAGCGGCGCCTCTCCTTGGCCAAGCGCTTGGCCTCAGGCGCCCAGGCGCGGGTTAGCCGAGAGCGTTGACGGCAACCAAAACGAACGAGAACGGGGGGACTTCCATTTGCTGATTCTTTCCCCAGATAGCTGAAAGCTATAGGGGTTCTAACTTCTAATAAAGAGGGGAAAGTGATTTGCGAGATTGAGGGCCGGGTGCTAGGGGGCATGCAGTTTGAGGTGCTGGTGGATGCTGCTTTGCGAGCTTGACGGCCGGGTGCTAGGGGGCATGCAGTTTGAGGTGCTGGTGGATGCTGCTTTGCGAGATTGAGGGCCGGGTGCTAGGGGGCATGCAGTTTGAGGTGCTGGTGGATGCTGCTTTGCGAGCTTGACGGCCGGGTGCTGGGGGGCATGCAGTTTGAGGTGCTGGTGGATGCTGCTTTGCGAGCTTGACGGCCGGGTGCTCGGGGGCATGCAGTTTGAGGTGCTGGTGGATGCTGCTTTGCGAGCTTGACGGCCGGGTGCTAGGGGGCATGCGGTTTGGGGTGCTGGTGGGTGCTGCTTTGCGAGCTTGACGGCCGGGTGCTGGGGGGCATGCAGTTTGGGGTGCTGGTGGGTGCTGCTTTGCGAGCTTGACGGCCGGGTGCTGGGGGGCATGCAGTTTGGGGTGCTGGTGGGTGCTGCTTTGCGAGCTTGACGGCCGGGTGCTGGGGGCATGGGGGGCATGCAGTTTGGGGTGCTGGTGGATGCTGCTTTGCGAGCTTGACGCCCGGGTGCTAGGGGGCATGCAGTTTGGGGTGCTGGTGGGTGCTGCTTTGCGAGCTTGACGGCCGGGTGCTAGGGGGCATGCAGTTTGGGGTGCTGGTAGGTGCTGCTTTGCGAGCTTTACGACCGGGTGCTAGGGGGCATGCAGTTTGGGGTGCTGGTGGATGCTGTTTTGCAAGCTTGACGGCCGGGTGCTATGCAGTTGGGGGTGCTGGTGGGTGCTGCTTTGCGGGTGCTACGGGGCATGCAGTTTGGGGTGCTGGTAGATGCTGCTTTGCGAGCTTGACGGCCGGGTGGGGGGCTGCTGGTTTGCGAGCTGGCCGGCGAGCTTGACGGCCGGGTGCTCGGGGGCATGCAGTTTCGGGTGCTGGTGGATGCTGTTTTGCGAGCTTGACGGCTGGGTGCTGGGGGCATGCAGTTTGGGGTGCTGGTGGATGCTGTTTTGTTTTTCGAGCTGGCCGGGTGCTAGGGGCATGCAGTTTGGGGTGCTGGTGGATGCTGTTTTGCGAGCTTGACGGCCGGGTGCTGGGGGGCATGCAGTTTGGGCTGCTGGTGGATGCTGTTTTGCGAGCTGGCCGGGTGCTAGGGGGCATGCAGTTTGGGGTGCTGGTGGATGCTGTTTTGCGAGCTTGACGGCCGGTTCTAGGGGGCATGCAGTTTGGGGTGCTGGTGGATGCTGCTTTGCGAGCTTGACGGCCGGGTGCTAAGGGGCATGCAGTTTGAGGCGCGGGTGGATGCTGCTTTGGTTGTACCGGGTGCTAGGGGGCATGTTTGGGGTGCTGGTGGATGCTGTTCGCGTGTAACGGTTCGTGGCTGGTGTATCGTCATGATGTTCCCACGTTATGGTGTGTGGGTGTAGTGGCGCCGTGATGCTGTCAACATCAGGATGATGCAGAATTTCATTAAGCTGTCGCAAGATGGTTCGTGGCTGTGGTATCATCATGATGCTGCCTTTACCATCAGCATGATGCTGTTCGCATCACCATGATGCTGTCCGCATCATCATGATGCTGTCCGCATCATCATGATGCTGTCGAACTCAGCAGGACCTCGGTTTGCTTTTTCCTGCCGGATTGCTCTCAAAATCATCATTATGCTGCTGATCTCATTAGGACGTTGTCTGCGCGTTTGTTTCGTGGCTGTGGTGTCATCATGGTCTACATCATCATGATAATGCTGCGTCATGGTTCGTATCCGTGGTGTGCTATCTGGGGTCTATGCTGGTGTATTTTTTTTGGTATCCCTTGTTGGTTTTAAAAGGAGTTTATCACTACTGGAGACATTTTTTTCCAGGGGTCTTAACCATTTGGAAGGG